GTGAGGGAACCAACAGTTAGCGTAATGGCTATGTCGCTGGACTCCCATGTAGTCGACTGCGGTTTGCGTCCTGGACCCAGTGGCTTAAAACTCACGCCGGGCGTGTGTGCGTGCGTGCCCAAGATCCCAAGAGGAGAATGGAGGAGAAGGGATTGCGGCGTGACCATCCCCTCTGGGGGGTGATTTCTCGCTTTCTGTCTCTATGTCTCTGTCTGTCTGGTGAGCGCACGCGCCCTATAGCAAAAACCTCTCAAAAAAAATTTATTGTGATTATTTTAATACATTCCATCTATTTTTCTATATCTTCTTTCAATGTTTCTTTCTTTCTATCTACTCTTTTATGATAATCTTTATTTATTTATTTATTTATTTATTTATTTATTTATTTTGTGTCCTGGGATTTCTTCAATGTCTTATTTTGTTATTTTAACTAACTTTTTATTGTTTTAGTTGTTAATTTCTAAAGTTTTATTTCTCTCTTCTGTAAATTCTTCAAGGTTGACTTTTAAGAGAGGACCAGGAGCCTATTCTATTTGCACTCTTATTAAAAAGCAGAAGTCCCTGGTCTTACATGCAAGTGAAATAAAGAAAATACACATAACAATAGATGAATAGTTAATTGTACTTTTGAAATTCTACTTTGAAGCAAATAAATAAGGTCTCATGAGATAGTGGACTAGGGAAGGGTGATTTTAGAGGACCTCTTCCCTTTTAGATTTTTGCCACTGAGCTGGTGGACTTGTTAGAAGTAGACAGAAACAGAGAGAGGAATGTGAGAAAGCAATCCCTGGGGGATGACCATGCCTTAGTTCCTTCTCAGTTCTCTTCTTGAGATATTGGGCCTGTATGTACACGTGGCCAGAGTGATTTTTCAGTCTGCCATGTCCAGGAACCAACCATAATCACCCTGTGAGAGTCCAACACCTTAATCACTATGCCACTTGCTGGCACCAAAAGGCCCTCTTTTAAGAGATGATATTTGGGCTAAGATGTAGAGTAAGGAAAAGCCAGCAACATGCTCACCAGCATTCCAGGTCAGCAAATACATTTAGAGCCCTCACAATGAAAATGTTCTTGAAAGGTTTAATTCCACTGTAATTAAAAAACATACTTTGCTTGATTTCAGATGTTTTTAAATTACAATGAATAATACAGTCTGTCTTTATGAATGTTTTGTGTACACCTGTAAAGAATGAATACCCTGCTGTTGTTCTCTGTTCTATAAATGTTAGATATATCTGGTTGATGGTGTTGTTCAATTCTTTTATGTCTTACTGCTTTTCTTTCTAGTTGTTCTATTAATTTCTGAGAGAGGAACATTAAAGTCTCAAGTTATAGTGATAAACTTTTCTATTTCTCCCTTCTATAAGTTTTTGCTTCATACATTTTGAAACTATGTTCTTAGGAGCAGAAACATTTAGGATTATTATGTTTTCTTGGTGGATCATTTTATTTTTATGTAATGACTGTTTTTATTCCTTATAATCCTCCTTGTTTTTAAATTCACTTTGTTGATATTAATACAAAATTACTTCAGCTATCTTGTTTATTGGTTGCATAATACATCTTTTTTGCCATTAGTTTACTTCAATTTTTAAAATAATTGTTTACTTAATTTTATTTATTTATTTTTTAATTTGATCAAAGAGACTGAGAGAGAAACAGAGAGGGAAAGTAAGAATGCAAGCCACCAGGTCCAAAACTCAAAGTATGCGGGAGTTCAGCACCTTAAACACCACACCACCTGCCAGCCTCGCCATTAATTTACTTCTAACTATATGTAAAGTAGGGTTGCTGTATATTGACATATTTTTAAATACATTCTGATAAGTTCCATCTATTTCATTTTCAGTTCATTTATTTATTTTTCCATGAGCAAGAGAGAAATAGGAAGAGAGAGATAGAGACAGAGACAGCACCCTCAACAGAGTTTTCATGCTTTGATCCTTAACCCAGCTTCAAGCCTGCCTCAGATTATGGCTCCATGCACAGCTGCATACTCAGGTTTTCATGAACAAACCTGGACTTTCCCATGGGAATCAGCTTCAAAGTTCATCTCAGTTTGCTGTTCACTGCCTTCTGGCCCATATCTGTCTTTTAATTAAGTTTAAATAACTTACATTCAATATGTTTATTAACATGTTTGTATTTAGGTTTACTATTGTACTATTTGTTTGCTCATGTTTCCACTTATTTTCTATTATTATGTTTCTGTTTTCTTCTTTTGGCTTTCTTTTGGATTAGTAAAATAATTTTTTGGTATTTCATCTTAATAATCCATTTATACATAGTTTTCTTTTTTTTTTTTTTTTGAGAAGTTTTTGCTACAGGGTGTATAAACTTGCCAGAAAGACAGAGAGAGACAGACAGAAAGAGAGAAATCATCCCCTGGGGAGATGGCTACGCCACAGTCCCTTCTCCTCAATTCTCCTCTTGGGATGTTGGGCATGCATGCACATGTACCTGGCATGAGTTTAAGCCACTGGGTCCAGGACTCGAATCATGATCAACTACGTGGAAGTCCAGCAACATAGCCATTATACCATCTGGAGGTCCCCCCATTCATAGATGGTCTTTGAAGATATAATTTTGTTTAGTACTTTTTAAATTCTTCCTAAAGGGATTATGACCATAAATTTAATTTTTTTTTACATTTTACTTAGACTTAGTATTTGCTACTTTAATAAATAAGAGGAATATCTGCTGTAGCATATATTTGCTATATATGCCACATGTAGCATATATAGCAAATATAAAATATATATAAATATAAATGTTTATAGCAAATATAAAATATAGCCTGGAGAGCCTGGGCTTTAATTTACCTGCTCATCTATGTACTTTGCATAACTGAGTCTGAATTTGGAGCCACATCATGGAAGAATAGCAAAAAGGAAGCCACAGAGATTTCTGTGTTTTTTCAGGATCATATAGAGCGTATATAGCAAATATGAATGTTAATAGCAAATATAAAACATATATAAAACATGTTGTTTTACTCTCCCTGCCTATTGTAATTTTCATACAAGTAGATACATTAAGCATCTCATTAAATGTTATATTTTTTACTTTCAATTATCAGGCATTTTATTATTTTTATTTTTAGCTTTATGCCATAGGGTGTGTGCACTCACCAGAGAGAGACAGAAACAGTGAAAAGGAAAGTGAGAAATCACCCTCCAGGAGGAATGGCCACACTGCAGTTCCTTCTCTATTCTCCTCTCAGGATTTTGGGCATGTACACACCTATACCCAGGGTGATTTTCAAGCCACAACTGACTTGAACCACAACTGGCCATGTAGTAATTCAGTACTTTAACCATCATGCCACCTACTGGCCTATCATGCATGTTTTAAAGAAAAAAAAATAGTCTATATTTTTAACTAGATTCTTATTATTTATTAATATGTCACTTTTCCGTTATTATTATATTAAAGTATTTTTATTGGTAATAAAGTCTCTGTAATTAGTTTCATCAGAGAATAACTTTCACTTTGATTGATTGATTGATTGATTTCTTTCTTTCTTTCTTTTTAGAGAGAGGTTTTTGCTTTAGGACATGTGCAATCACTGGAGAGACAAAGAGACAGAAATTGTAAAATCACCCCAGAGGGGATGGTCATGCTGCAATCCCTTCTCCTTCCTTCTCCTCTTGGGATTTTGGGTATGTGCACACATGAGCTCAGTGTGACCACTTGCCTTTAGAACATGATTATAGTACTTCTTTAATATCTTTCTCTGATAAATAGAACAATGCTGTCATCTTGATTGTGATTTCCTTTTCTTAAGAGTTAAGAAAAGACTTCTCTGGTTCCTCATATGCCAAGTAATTTTGGATTGTATCCTGGACATTTTTAATATCATGTTATGAGACACTGACTCTTATTTATTGTAAAAAAAAAAAAAGAAAAAGAAAAAGCTGGTTTTCTTTTTTTTAGAAGGCAATCAACCTATTTATGAAGATGGAACAAGCTCAGATCTCTTTTTTGGATTATGTTCCCAAAATCAGTGTATTTTCTTTTCTTTTTTCTTTTTTCTTTTTTTTTTTTTGAAGAGGATTTTGCTATAGGGTGCATGTGCTTGCCAGAGAGACAGAGAGACAGCAAGAAATCACCCCCCAGGAGGGATGGCACCGCAATCCCTTCTCCTCCATTCTCCTCTCAGGATCTTGGGCACCATGCACACACACCCAGCATGTGTTTAAGCCACCGGGTCCGGGACTCAAATTGCAATCGACTCCATGGGAGTCCAGCGACATAGTCATGCCAACTACTGATCTCCAGTATAATTTTTTAAAAAGTGTTTACAGTGTTATCCTAATCAGTTTTCTACTAGCCATTGTAGGTGTGGATGACAGCCTACATTATGCCCTAATTTTCAGAGTTTTGACACCTTGTGACAATCATTCTCACATGCTTAGTTCATTGGTTCATTTAGGAGTTCATATATTGGGTCATCGGGAAAGTACTGACACATTTTTCCATATAAAAACAGAAAAATACATCACGACTTTCCCAACCACTTAATACAATTTTATGGGATCAAACTCTCTGTCTCTTTTAAGCCTCCTCCTCTGAGGGATCTCCCTGATATTTCTGAATTCTCTGAAGTCACCCATGCAGACCCTCTCAAGCTTTCATTTACCTATTCACCTATGTACTTTGCATAACTGAGTTTGAATTTGGAGCCACATCAAGGGAGAATCACAAAAAAGAAGTCACAGAGATTTCTGTGTTTTCTCAGGATCATGGATTCTCTCCCGAGAAAGGAAAGTTTTCTCTCTAGAATTTTCTGGGTCTCTCGAACCACCACAGCTGCTGGGTCAGTTATAGAATTTCCTGGGGATTAGAGTACAGGAGCTAACAACAACAGCAAAACAAACAAACAAACAAACAAAAAAGCAGTAAATAATGAAGGGATTTCTCCCACTCTCTTGTTCTTTTAGGAATCCTCTTTTTATTCCTTGGAATGCCTGAGCTTTTTATGTCTTCATCCCGTATCTAATTTTGTGCTTCCTATAAGTCTAGGCCAGGCAGTATAAGAGAGGAGAAGAATAGTAAATTCACCAGCAGTTTAGTGGCACTTTGAATTCTGTTCTTGTTTTCAAGTTCAACTGCTACCATTTATTTGAGTCCTCAGAAATCTGTTTTGCATTCAGTGGGAGACGCCCCTGTACAGGTACATCCCTTTCTTGGCCTGTTTAAAAACAGAATTTTAAAAAGAAATCAGAAAAGAGTTGGATTGGAAATTGGAGAAGGGGAGTGCAGTTGAATATTACAGACAAGGGCAATATCATAAGTGTAAGGTGTTTAGATTTATTCTAATAACAATTAGACATGCCTAAGATTTTAATTAGAGGATAGATATAGTTACATTACAAACAGATCACTTGTATTGTTGTATTAAAAATAATCTGTGGGAATTTAAGATATTGTTGGTAGTTTAACCATCAAATACTAGTTCACACACACACACACACACACACACACACACACACACATATATATATATTTTAGAGGTAGGGCAAAATAATTTGCAATGGACTGAATGTAGGAGAAGAGGAAACCAGGAGAGAGAAATGATGCTGATGTTGTTAGCTTAAATAATTAGACAGATGACAATAACATTGACTTATATGTGAAAGACAGGCAAAAAGCAAAGATTGGGATTAAATCTAAAACATGTTTTTCCCTTTGGATGTGACACATTAGACACACTCATTGGTCACCCAAGTGCCAAATGGTAATGTCTGGTGGGCAGTTGGATAGCTTTTATTCAATTGTCATGGATCCGAGTGTTGACAAACTATTTTGCATATATTTAGCATAAATGCTTAAAAGAGAAAGAGAAAATCTTTGTAAGAGTATTCCTGAAACACTGAAGTATATTTGACAAATATTCATGATGGCTTAGTAATGCTGTATTATTATGCACAAATATCATTCTATGTTTTTCCTTAAAACTTTCCAGAAATGCATTTGATGACTTGAGTAGAAGTCATTCCTAAAGAAGCCCCTAATGTTTAAATTTTATTGCATTATCTTACAGATGTGAACAATTATTTGTCTCTTTGGTCTCTTCTACAATCAAAGCACAATATAATATAGTATCTTTCTCAATGTCTGGATGATTGGATCTAGAAAACTATCTTTCAGGGTTTTTATTTTATCAATAATAGCTCCCAGAGTTTTTTCTCAGTCCATGTCACTCTGATCTCCCTCTGTGTATGATGAACCCATGATTGTTCATCCTTCATTTAGTCGTCTGATGTCTAATGAGTAGCATTACTTAGAACACCCATTTAATGAAAAAAGACTCACTGCTTTCTGAGCCTTCTTATTACATAAAATTTAGACCTTGATGTTTCTACTTGCTCGCAAATCATGACAATCTTTCAACTTCTTATTATGTCATAATTATTAGCCTAAATCAAGAAATGTGTATACACTCACATACACCGTACACATATAGGCATATACACTCACATTCACTAAATGAGCAATACTGAGGTGATGTGTGCTTTCTACTTTCTATCTGTATTTCTCAGGAGGTGGCATGTAATGGGAGCCATGTTTCCCTAGCAAATAAGAGACAGAAACAGAATGGTATCTAATTAAAATGTTTACAACATTTCCCATGAGGTATAAGCCACTGACATTTTCCAGACTGCAAGCCAAGAAATGCTTAGGATTATACAGATGTACTTTGCAATCTACAAGTGCCATGCGACAAAAACATAGCTTAGACACAGTTCAGGAAATATGGATTGGATAACCTTTCTTTAGAACTCAGAAATTAAAAGTTAGGTCCGATGAGAATTAATGGTATGTTGAGCAGCTCATCTTTTTTCCAAGTAAATCAACAACCCATTTTCTCTTTTTCATAGGCCATCTTCCTCTGCAATATTTTATCTCATCTGTATCTAAGTCTGCCAAAAAACTGTAGTTGCATCATTGCATCTTTTTCTCCTCCAAACTCTCCTAATTCCAGCCTGAACACTCTGCTCTCCTCCTGTCACGATCTAGCCCTCCAACATGAGACTCTTTCCAAATGTGAATAATAATGCTAACCTCAGCTTCTCTTAGCTGTCCCAGTCCTCAATTCCTTATAATATTATTTCCTCATGTATTTAAGCTATAAAAGTTTTTTGAACAATTACTTTGTTCCAGGCATCCTTAAAATAATAGGAATCTATCAATAATCAAAGTAGGCAGATTTCCTACTCTCATAAAACTTATCAAGGACCAGCAGCTAGTGTAATGGCTATGTCGCTGGCTCCCACGTAGTCAACCATAGTCTGAGTCCCGGACCCAGTGGTTTAAACTCACACCAGGCACGTGTGCATGTGTCTCCAAGATTCTGAGAGTAGAATGGAGGAGAAGGGATTGTGGCATGGCCATCCTCCCTGGGGGGTGATTTCTTGCTTTCTGCCTCTGTCTTTCTCTCTCTTTCTGGCAAGCACATGCGCCTGTAGCAAAAACCTCTCCAAAATAAACAACTTATGATCTGGCAGGTGGACAGGGCAAAACAATTATCAATCAATAAACAATCTATATTAATTTCTATGGTGACCAGTATCATAAAAAAATGAAACAAGTTAGGGGAAAAGATAGTGCTAATGGGTGGAGTAATTTGAGCCTTTACATTAAATACCTTTGTATGAAAATCTTCACTTTCTTCGCAGATCGGTATTTCCATAGAATTGGTTCCTTCACTCACAAACTCACAAAGATATTCATGAGGCCACCCCCCAAAAAAGTAATCCTCAGGTAATTTCTCATAGTTCATTTTCTTATATCTGAAATAACTGTTTTTGGAACAAAAATGGAGCATGCACTTTGTAACTCTAAGCATAATTTCCTATTGGCAGTAGATATAGGTCTTTGCATTATTACATAGACCATCATCAGTTTCCCTTTTCATGTAATCTTTTACCTTTAGAAGATGCCCCAAAGTCTTTCTGTGCCTTTTCTAATAGAGACATCCGTCTATTGTGTCTGCTTAAAATTTTTCAAAAAAAAAAAAATTGCTACAGAAAGTGAGGAAAGGAAATATTCCGTAAATTGAGCCAGAGTTTATTCTTAAACTTATTTTCTTCACTAATCACTGTTGAAGGGCAAGGTGGCACTATACAGATAATCTTCCCTCTGTAGAGACATGGACTGAAGTGGGATAGAGTAGAGTGGATATCATTCTCCCAGTAACATCAGTGGAGACAGGATATCTTAACACTTTGAAACTAAGGAAAGCATTCCAAATTAACATTTCTATGAAACCAAGCTTTACCTAGAAAGTCTGCAGACACATTTAGAGTTCAGTATGAATTTGTTTAAGAATGGATTTATAAAGCATCTTAAATACCAGTGAATTTCCAAAACACACAGGCTACAGATGACCCTTCAATGACTATTATTTATGTCAGAAGTATTGTCCAACACTGCTTTAACTTATTTATTCTCATCTCAAAAGGGATTTATAGAGGACAATTTCTGGCTGTTTTTTGTTGTGTTGGTTTTGGTTTTTACTTTTGATAATCATGTCTCCACCCATGTGCAGTAGGTGCTCTGGTGGCCTGCCCACATGTCCAGAGCAGAGCAATCCATATGCACAAAAACAGAATGTCATTGGGTTCACTTTGACAAGCACACTGTCAATAGACCTAAGAAGAATAACATACTTCTTATGTATCAATAGCAAAATGAGCAAATGGAGCTGCTTTTTTGGGAGAGAGTCATCATAGGTCTCTATGTCCAATGATAGGTATTAGCAAAATGACAAAAAAAAAAAAAAAGAGCTTTATATACAATTTGGATTCAAATATAACAATGAAATATATAAGGCTGGCAAACTATTTTCCACTCTTCTAATTTTATTTTCATAAAGTAGGAAATGTAGATAATTAAATGAAAAAACTTAGCAATGTTAAAATCCTATAACAATGTTCACATGCTTTTATTTTATTACAGAAATTGGGAGATTTACATTAACTTTGGTAATCCAATCTCCTTTTGTTCATGCTGGTCATGTTCAAGGTTCAATGGAGAATGAAGCAGATACAGATTGTGCATGCACATTCCATACTATAATGTATCTTTACATGTTCATGAATATTCATTATCACATGTATGCCTAAATCTATGTTTGCCTAAATCTATGTTTTGTGTGTGTGTGTGTACATGAGTTTATCCTCACACAAATTTGTGAGGATAAACTCCATTCGTAAAGGCAAACACGGATTACAGGTAGCCCTGGAGCTAAGGAACAGCTTTGATTTTTAGTAGAATTTACGAGTCCACAGCTTTCTGATAAACCTAGTGCTTCTCTGAAATCTTGTATTTCTCCTTCTTTGCGTTGACAATCTCACCTTCCCGTGTCTGGGCTTCCACAGTTTCTTTTACTTGAAGTAAGCATGGTAAGGTGCTTTGGGATTTTTACATTGCTAATAGCAATTTTCGTGGAGGTGGCAATGACAAATTTCTGGTGTGTTCTACACAGTGGAACTCGATTGAGAACCAGCAGTCCAATCACAAGTAGCAAGCCACTGCTCAGGACAACCACTCTCTTGCCTCTGTGGCATCCAGTGAGGATGATCAGAATGGTCCCGGGAGTGATGCTGGCTTGCAGCTATTTCATATGTTGACTGAAGGGTTTTTTGTCAAGGCTCAACAGCTTTTGAGGCACATCTTCAGTAGGATAATACCTAGGCATTTTGCACAGTTTTACCACCAGGGTACCACCATTCTTGTCTCTACCCACTGGTAGTCATGAGAACCTTCTCCTTTTTCTTTTCAATTCTGGATTTAGTGGCTGAGTATTTCCTCTTGGACATGGCCTGGAATAGATGGCAAATCAGGATTATATGCTGATGCCTTGGACTACAGCCAGGTTTTGGCTACAATGGGGCTTCCCCTTCTTGGCCTTTTTAGCCTTGGGGTTACCCTTTTTAACCTCGTCACTGGCATCAGTCTTGTTGGCTTCAGGTTTCTTCTCCTTAGTATCCTGCTTCACAGCTTTTTCACCTGCCATCTTGTATAGTGGGAAAGAGCTATTGTATATATGATTTAACTTTGCTATTTTGCCAGGCATTTAGTTTGTTCTCTACCTTTTTTATTATTTATAATAATCCTTCACCTATGTAAGCCTGGAAGTCAAATGTCCCTTTCATCCCACAAAAGTTCAGTATGACCTCAAATCCTCTCATCGAGTTCAGAGCCAGCTGTCAATTTGATTGGGTTAGAGTCCTGCTTCTCACTATAAGGAACACTTAGCATGCAAACAAAAAGAAAAGTTCAATCCAAAGTGGTTAATAGATTTTGATGCCTCCATATTCGGCCCACATCAATTCTTTAAAAGTCCCTCCAGTGAAAATCAACCAGCCAGATATTGAGTTAATGGAATAACTTAATTTCAGACACTTAGCAATTCCCCATATATGAACATTTTATATGAATGGGTGAGCTTTCCTTTAAACACAGTTTTGTTTTTTTTAATTTTAGGATTTATTCTTGGTCACTTTTCCTGACCTTGTTTGTTTTGTCCCATCCCTCTGTCCTTGTACTTGCATTCAAATTTCCTCTTGCTGTCTAGTTGTCTTCTCTCTTGCCCTTGCCACTGGCAGTGAACACAGATATAACACATTATTCTTGGCTGGATTTAACATACTTTTCTAATATTTTTTCTGAAAATTGCTTATTAGATGAATTGACTTTAGACATTTTGTTTACCTTCTTCCACTCACTGAACCATTGTTAGGAAAGACGGCTCCACCTGCAGCCATCTTTCAGGTAGTGACACTCGTTCAAGTCTACCATTCTTTAACCTAAAAAGCATTTGTATATATGAATCACAGTAATAATTTCACAATACTCACTTTTCTTCTTCACCAAATCATGGTATATTCTGTTTGAAGAAATAAAACAATAAATGTAAAAACTTCTAATCACATGTCCTTGAATCAAGAGGGCTTCGTGTGTTTGATTTAGAAGTTATTGTTATTCCTGGCATTTTTTAGCCTATATGATTTTCAAAAGATCAATTTTCCTTGCAAAGCATGAATGCAACAAGCTGAGTCATCACCACTAATATTTCACAAGACTGCTGAGTGTAAGCACAAGTATTAGAATGGTCTTCAGGACATTTTCCCTTGGATCCTCTGGATCTACAGTCACAGCTGGACTTCATATGGTTTCAAAGTCACACAGCTGCTTGGGAAACCCCATGGTTCTTCTTTTGACAAACAGGAGTTGCTTAATAGCAGGAAAGCCAGAAATAAGATCCTAATTTCTCATAATAGAAATATAAATCATAATCTCTTTTGTGAGTAGCATTTTTATGCAGATTGATGTTAAATATTTTTCATCCTTTATCAATTTATTCTTTTATCTCTTCACTGTTGAACACATGGAAGCTACAGGCAGCCTAGGAGTGCAAATATTTACTATGTTTGAGATTTAGAGGAACAAAACGCAGCCAAAGGAAGTAAATACATTGCACTATATAGAATTTAAAGTAAACATTATATAAAGAGGACATAATTCATCCTTTGTTTTTCTGCTAGATAAAAAAATCATATAGCAAAACATAATATAAGATACAGTAGTTACCATACATTTCGCATAATGGCTTAAACACATTTTCTCTGTAGGAAGTATTCCTATGATAATAAGGCAATATGAAAAATCATCTGGGACAAAAATAAAATATGAATGCAAAAGATAACTCAGTGTTTGTGACACCCCAAATGCAATATAATATCATGAAAATATACATTTATTCATAATAGATACACACTGTGAAATCTTAAGTAAATATCAATATGTAATTTTGTAGAGTTCCCTGATTGTTTTCTAAAATACTAAACTCAACATTTAATAAGTTCAAAGCCTTTTGCCCCACACTGGTACCTCAGGTTCTGAATTAAAAATCCCTTATATTTTATAATGCCAACATGCAAATAAACACTAACCTAGCCATTAAAACACATTAATCAAGTATTGTTTATACTGTCTGCATTCATCTAGGTCACACCAATAATGTTAACACTTTTCTGACTGTATATGATTGTGGCAAAGGACGTTTATATTAACTGAAACTCTTGGGTAAAAAACTCTTTAGAGATTTTTATTAACATGCTTAGTGTGGTAGATACCACTATTTGTCCACTCAGAATTTATTTAGTGTTTTTACCTTGCTTTGGGTACCTCGCTTTGGTTTATGCTGTTTAATGAGTGATATACCCCAACCATAAAACTCTACTCCTTGCTTTGGCAGTCTCCTTTGCAGTTAAAAGTAGCTTGAGATCCATTTGAGGTTTCTGAGTCTTAGGAGAAAGTCTCTTAGTGAAGTGATGTGGCTTCCCTGGTAAATCTGTACACACCAAGTTTTCCTTCTTCCCTCCATTTCTTCTATGAACATGGCGATGATATCTAGGTTTGCAGAAGACATCTTGAAACCAGGAAAAGAAAAATATGAGAAAGAATGAAAGCATGTAATTATGGCAGAGTAGGAAGATAGTAAGAATTCATTCCTAACCCACATTCGCCTTTGTTTATTTAAAGGATAAAAGCTCTCTAACAAGGATGCTTTCTAATACATCTTTCCTAAACGAAATTCTATGTCTTTAAATCTTCACAAGAGACTTCTTTACTGAAACAAAAGTTTTACTAGCAAGTTTACCATGATTCATGTTCTATATCCAGATTTGAGAAATAAAACGTTATAGCTCTTGATCTATCCCAAGTCTGCATTATGCTAGAGCTGTTTATTTAGTTTTATCATTCTCTTTTTATTTTCCTGGGCCAGTGTTTTTTCCTCTCTTATTCTCTTCCAAGAGGATGCTAAAAATACCCTAAATCTGTGACTAAGGAACCTAAAAACTATTAGAACGGTACTGAAGAATCAAGTTTTCATGACATTGGATTCCATTATGTCTGATTCTATAACTCTTGATTAATTTGTAGTTGATGTAAGTAGATATGGTCTCTTGTTCAGACACTCATCTCATGTACTGTAACACCAGAAAACAAAAATAAGTAATTCTTGCACTAATCAGAGATTACTCTTAAAAATCTGATAATTAATGCCGCTCTCATTGACTGACTAATCTGCTGGATTGATGTGCTTATACTCGATACTTTAAGTGCTTTTAACTAAAGACACCAGATACACAGTGAAAGGAGACTAATGTGATGGAGATTATTTATCTAATATGAGTCCAGAGCCTACAGATTATAGAGTTGGAACAGTGGTTTATGCAATACCCAAGGTCACTCTGTTTCTGATCTTCAGAACTTAGTAGTCAGCGATGTTTCACCATCCGGTTACAGGGTGTCTGTGACACCCTAGAAGACAATTTCTTCAACACAAAGTGGATAAGAAAAGAATGCTTTTCTTTTCATTTGCCAGTCTTTTTCCTTAGAAAATTCATGCCCAGAAGGCAAGTAGGAGATTCCCCTTGTGAGTCATTGGCGGGAACTGGATCCTGTGCCCTTTTTATATCCATGAGTGGCAGTTGGGCAGGGGATTACTGAGTGGGCTGAAGAGAGATTTACCCCTCTTGTACATGCTATCATCCAAAGATATCCAAAAAACTGAGGTTATCTAGCAGTGAGTATAAGGATCTCTAAAGTTTATTGTTTTGGAGGGTTTTTATTTGTAGCTTTAAAAAAATTTTTTTAGGGAACCAGCAGTTATCGTAATGGCTATGTCGCTGGACTCCCACGTAGTCGACCGCAGTTCATGTCCCGGACCCGGTGGCTTAAAACTCACGCCGGGCGCGTGTGCGTGCATGCCCAAGATCCCGAGAGGAGAATGGAGGAGAAGGGATTGCGGCGTGACCATCCCCTCTGGGGGGTGATTTCTCGCTTTCTATCTCTATGTCTCTCTCTGTCTGTCTGGCGAGCGCACGCGCCCTACAGTGAAAATCTCTCCAAAAAAAAAAAATTTTTTTAAAGAAAATTTAAAGTTCCTGACTGCATTAGTTTCATAGGGCTGACTTAACAAAGTGCCATAAACTTGGTGTGTTGAAACAACATAAATTCATTTCTCCCATTTCTGGAGGCTAGATGTCTGAAATTACGGGATTATTGGAAAGGTCATGATATATTTCCTATTTTTTTTTATGAAAAAAAAAAAGTGTTACAACTTTTCCAAAGACCCAATAGACATTTGATATCAAGACATCAAGAGACCATGAAAGACCATAGGTAGAATCTGTCCTATGCCCTTGGCATGGTTTTTGAAGTTGCTAGTAGTGCCTCGCTTACACCCACATTACTCCAATCCACCTGTCATCACATGACATGTTCCCCTGTGCTTTCTTTCTGTATAAGGTCACAGATCATACTGGAGTAGGCCCTACACTGACTGAATCTTCACCAGATCATATCTGCAAAGACCCTATTTTTGAATTCACCGATATAGGAGGTTAAGACTTCAATGTGCAGCTTTGTAGAACATGATTCAACTTATAATATGATGAAATTGGAGGAAAGCCTGGGAATGTAAAGTAAAGGAAATGACCCTCAGGAAACACAAAAATAGAGCTATACTTGAGAATACATGTAACAGAAGCTAACACATAGTATTGTCAGAGTGTTACCAATGAAACTTTAAATTATTTTTAGTTTTTCTCTTTAAGATAAAAATTTGTGGGCTAGTTCCATAGCACAACAGTTAAGCACTGTGTATGGAAAGTCAGATCCTACAGGGTCAACTATGGTTGCAGTCACAGCCCTGGAGACTTAGAAAACATGCCAGGTGCCTAGTGTGTGTGCCTAAAATCCTGACAGGAGGTAGATATGGAGGAAAAGGATTGCAGTGTGACCAAATTTCATAAAAAGTGTGTTCTCTCTCTCTTGCTGGTGAGAACACATACACTCTAACAATGAAAGAAAAAAAGAGATTCAAATTTCAGTGAATGACAACTACATTGGTAATGTTAACAACATACCGACTTATTGGCAGAGTGCAGGGAAAGTAACACAACATTTTAATAGCCCAGTGAACTTTCGTGTGGTGACAAAGCAGGAGTTCCTCTAAAGAACATCTAGCTGTGTTCACTAAGAGGAAAGAGAGAGTGCTACTGAAGTAAAATAAAAATGCACTGCATGGTTTTAGTCCATCCTGCCGTCTGCTCCACCACTTGGGAACTAATCCCTTGACTGGCACTCCAGCAGTGGGAAACTAGAATGGTCCTGACACCCACTGGACGACTTGATGATGAGACTCTGTAGGAGGCACAGATGGTGTTCTAATGGTACTGGACACAACTGGACAATATGAATCAATGGGTGATGTCAGTAAACTCACAATCTGTTGATGTTGGGTGTGCATTCAGTGCATATCAGCTCTGAATAGGGATACAAATAAAATGTAATATTGACTCCTATAGTGATAGTAAATACTTAGAACATTTATAAACAGAATACATGTTTTCCTTAGTAATGAAAAGAGATTGTAGAGGGAGAATTCAAAGCTAAAGAAAAGAAAAATATGAATATAAATTTCAGTGATCATTAACAAAATACATACCAAACTAATTCGATCCAATGTGTAGTTTAACATACTGGACGAGGCTCGGGACACAAGAAAGGATAAAGATTAAAGAGACCAAGTTCAGAGAGACCTGTACAGAAATCTGGGTTCTGCTCATTGTTTCCTTTGTAACACAGAGTACAAGTAAGGATATGGTGCTTGTTATATGCATGTGTGTATGGACATTGGTATTTTTAATTAAATGGTTGAATGAAGGAGTAAAAAGTGTCTGTAGTCTTGTTAGTCAATTACAACATATTCTTTTCTTTTTTTTGGAGCAGCTTTTGTTATAGGGTATATGCACTTGCCAGAAAGACAAAGAGAGACAAAGAGACAGAAAACGAGAAATCATCCCCCAGAGTGGATGGCCACACTGCAATCCCTTCTCCTCCATTCTGCTCTCGGGATCTTGGGCACGCACGCACACACACCCAGTGTGAGTTTAAGCCACCAGGTCCAGGACTCGAACCCCTGTCAACTACATGGGAGTCCAGCAACATAGCCATTATGCCAACTGCTGGTCCAAGTTACAACATATTCTAACATAAATAAAAGTTTGGAGGAGGGACACTATATACAGCTAAAGCTCATTTTCAACTATAATGTACATTACACTATACATAAAATAGGAAACGAGAATAATCCTTGACCAACTCTGATGATTATCTGTATACCGATTGTATCCTTATGATGAGAAATGTGTAATCTTGTGCTTTCATTGAATCCCTATCCTGAATAAGGCACAAGGGTTGACATTAATAAAGTAGACTAAAATCACAGTCAAAGTCTCTGTGTTAAAAACATATAAACTATTTAAAGTTGGGATGGGAAGCCTGTGTGTTAACCTAAGGCAAAGAGAATTAACTGATAAGAGTTCTGAGTAGCATAGGGAGAAAAAACAGACAGGATTAATTTTTCTTGACTGGTAGACCAAGAAAGTCTTCACCATTTAAATAAAATTTGAAATTAAATACTGTATTTATTAGTAAGATCTGGTTGTGGTGTTTTGTTTTGTTCTCCTAGTACAAGAGAGATATTAGGGAAATAAAGACACTATAAATTACCAGTCAATGGGCACTGGAGAGCCAGCAGGGGATGTGGTGGTTAACATGCTGGACTCCCACATGGGCAATTGTGGTTTGAGTCCTGGATGTGGCAGCTTGCTTTCTCCTTTTTTCTCTCTCTTTCTCTTTTTCTGGTCAAATTAAAATAATAATAATAATAATAAATAAAATTAAATGACTTAAAAAATGCATTGGAAGTAAACAGCCTTTGTTCCTTGCATTTTAGTCCTGGGTAATTTTTTTTTTCCTGAGTTTATTCCTTCCATAAAGAAGGCAGAGAGAGAGAGAGAGATATCCCCAACAGGGTCTTCATTCCAAAATCCTTTCCCCACTCTCAGCCAGTCAGAATCATGAGTATGCACACTGTGCACCCAGGGTGCCTTGGAGTGTCTCAGGATGTTGACCCTGGACCTTCCTGTCTGGCTTCAGCATCACCACCAAAGCTGGCCTGTGATCCTTTTAATATGAACCAGTGTTTCTCTCGGCGTTGATTCACACACTCCCCAAAACTGATTGTAAGATTCATTTCACTATTTAAAGAGCTGCTACTGGGAACCAGCAGTTAGCATAATGGCTATGTCGCTGGACTCCCATGTAGTCGACCGCGGTTCGTGTCCTGGACCCGGTGGCTTAAAACTCACACCGGGCGCGTGTGCGTGCGTGCCCAAGATCCTGAGAGGAGAATGGAGGAGAAGGGATTGCGGTGTGACCATCCCCCCTGGGGGGTGATTTCTCGCTTTCTGTCTCTATGTCTCTCTCTGTCTGTCTGGCGAGCGCACGTGCCCTACAATGAAAATCTCTCCAAAAAAAAAAAAAAGAGCTGCTACTTAACTATACAAAAGTATA